GTGGTACCTCTGGTTACGTACTTAATTCATTCCAGAGGTCCGTTCTTAACCTGAAACTGTTCTTCACCTGAAGTGCCACTTTAGTTAATGGGGCGTCCCGTTACTGCCGTGCCGCCGCCGCGCGGTTTCTGTTCTCATCCTGAAGCAAAGTTCTTAACCCGAGGTACTATTTCTGGGTTAGTGGAGTCTGTAACCTGAAGCGTATGTAACCCGAGGTACCACTGTACTAAACAAATTAAAATTCACATGCTTCACATGGATGTAGTCAGATATAATGGCAAGCAGGCTTTAAAAAAAGAAAAAGCATTAAATCCAGGTTTGTCATGAAATGGGATGCAGATACATCCTTTTGCCTAGCCCTCCTTTCTATTCGCTGGTCAACAGGAAGCTGCATTGTTGTCTAACAATATGGAGCCAAAACCTCTGCCAAATTGCCGGCTTTGAACCCAGTAGAACAGGCTCCTCTGAAGACCATGCATCCCATTTATTGGTATTAATGTGCGCAGATGGCTTTTTCAAAGCAACATATTTTTATGATATAAACATTCATCCATTAAATGCTGCTACTGAGACTATAGCTGATTATTTTGCACTGGTTTCCTTTGGGAAGTCCAAATCATTCTCCTGCTGTTGAGAACCCGGAGAACATTTTTATTGCAAGTGACACAGCTGCTAAAAATATATTTGAGATAAAAGTTAAATACAGGCCGGCCTCTGGATTCCAGAGGACATCTCACTCATCCCCAAAACAAACTTAGAACATAGGCTCCCTCCCAAAGATGAAGCTTAACGAAATAAATATTCCAAACTGTCAGAGGCGGACTGCATGCATCACTTTTCAACCTCTGAGCTTTCATTTCTGCATGATCCCATTAAAGTTATCACCCACCCACCCCAAGTATTTCCAGTCAATAGCAGCAAGCTGGCTTAAGGACATGCTGCTTTGAGGGTGATCAGCCCTCTGAACCGTAGGGTTCAGTAGGAAGTACTGCTTCTTTGAGCCACTTCCTGTTATGCTTCTTGTTCTCACTTCGCCACTGCTTGGATCACCATCTGGAAGACTTCAGTTTATGCTAAGCAGAGAGGAGGGCACTGCCAACGAACAGGAAAAACAAGAGGGTGTGGAAGTCTCTGGGAGCTGAAGAAAGCAAGGAGGAAAGGGCTACGTAACCTCAATATTATTTCAGGAGGGAAACCCTCTGCTTCAAGAGCAGCTATGAAACCTCTCTTATAAATATAAGTCAGTAAATATAGTTACATCTTATAATGAATCCATTGCCTTGCACCCATATTCCAAAATTAAATATCCCACATATTCAACAGTTTGTGTCAAGTTCCAGCTTTCTGGAAACAACTTGCAGGTTCCCCCACCAGCCCTACAAGAGTGAAATAGTATAGGTATATCATGGAAAGTTAGCTGCAGATAGTTGCAATGACTGTGTACCTGTCCAATGTTTTCAATGAAACACCCACTAACCATTTAATTACTTCTATTTTGAAAGCAAAGCGCTATTGATTCCATTTTTGCTTAACAAGGCAGAGAGTAATAGTATGCCATGATTATCCACACTTACTGTACCTTTCCTCTGCTCTGTCCAGACACAGAAATAAATAGTTCATGTGTGCTATAATAGTCCTTCAACTGTAAATATGATGGCAGTTGAAAATATGTTAAAGTTGGATGTCCAATGATTTCTGTGTCCTCTCATTAAAATATGTTTATCTCCAGCATCAGAGCAAAGATCGGTTTATTCAGTTTGTAGGAAGGGCTTGTAAAAATAGCCTGATTTTAGATAAGAATTGAACACTTTTGAACCAGCCCTATTTACTTTTCAAGGTCAAGCTAACTTTGCAATGGGCCTTTCAAGCCAAGTTATTTGTCTGCGCTGCCTGCTACCTGAATGGTTCTGGACAAAATATAATTTAGTTTAACGTCTTACGATTACTTGAGTAACTACAGCATTGCTTAAACAGGAAGAAATTTTAAAATGGTGTTTGTTTCAGCTAAGAAATGCTAATAGCAGAAGATGCATTTTTATCAGAGAGTAACCAGTGCACATATGGATGGTAGAATGTACACCATCAAATTCCAAGACCAGTTTACAGCCTATAGCTGTGAGATTGAAGTTATTTTAAATCACACTGCAGCTTTAGTGTATGGTGAACTGCTAACAGAGTAAAAGGTAAAGTAAAGGGACCCCTGACCATTAGGTCCAGTCGTGACCGACTCTGGGGTTGCGGTGCTCATCTCGCTTTATTGGCCGAGGGAGCCGGCGTACAGCTTCCGGGTCATGTGGCCAGCATGACTGAGCCGCTTCTGGTGAATCAGAGCAGCGCACAGAAACACCATTTACCTTACCGCCAGAGCGGTACCTATTTATCTACTTGCACTTTGACGTGCTTTCAAACTACTAGGTTGGCAGGAGCAGGGACCGAGCAATGGGAGCTCACCCCGTCGCGGGGAGTCGAACCGCCGACCTTCTGATTGGCAAGTCCTAGGCTCTGTGGTTTAACCCACAGCACCACCCACATCCCACTAACAGAGTACATCACCACATAGATGTGGCCATTCCAAAATGCAGTGCTCATATTATTGCGAAAAAGCTAGCTCTACCCCCTGATTTCCCTCACTTTAGCCAAACGATCCCCCCTTCTGTAGCCTTCTAAAAGAAAGTAGCTGGGCAGAAGAGGTCATAATCTGTAAGGAGGGTGCACAGATAGCAAATTACTACTTACACTGTAACTGGGACATATGGGACATATCCACACCATTCAATTAAAGCACCCCCTACAAGAATCCTGGGAACAGCAGTTTGCCCCTAATAGAGCTACAGTTCTCAGCACCCTTAACAAATTACAGTTCCCAGGATTCCTTGGGGAAACCATCTGATTTAAATGTGCTTTACATGTGTGTTGTGGAGTTGACCTTGAAGTAGTCCCCACATGACAGCCGTAGAGTATAAACTGGCTTATCTCTTTGACTAACTAGACAAATAGGAAAAGCTGTTATGACAGCGCTGAGGTAGGAAGGTGCTGCCAGTTTTGTGCCCTGCTGGCTACCAGGGCATGTGGACAGCCAATGCCCTCCTAGACAGTGAGACACACCCCACAGAGGAGGCCACTCATTGGCCAGTTTGAACTGCAGCAGCTGCCAGGAACTCGAGCCATCTGCCCAGGAGGCCAAGGGGAATTCCCTCAATGGCCACCCAGCCATGTGTGCTCTGTTTTCTTTTACTGCCCTGGGATGGTGACTGAGCTCAAGGAGCCACAACAGCCACCCACCCAGGAAAAGGGGTAAGCGTCCATTCTAGTTACTCTGAGCTACTCCTGAGCTATTTCTCTGAGCTGCTCTAAGAAACAGAATTATAATTTACATAATTTGTTGCATAGTTTGTACAGTGAACAGACTTTGGCTTTTCTTGGAGCACGATTTGGATATCCTTGGCACATTTTGGTTTCCGAATGCTGCTCCTAGTTATTCAAAGTGGGTGAAGCTAGCAATGGGTAGCTGTGAATCCAGCAGAAACTCCTGGGTTTTCTTCTGCACTCACCTCTCTGGGATCTGTCACACTCCATCTCAGATAACCAGGCACAAGGGAGGTTGGGGAACTACAGGGAATTTACAGCTTATACGCATTTAACTTGCATGCATTCAGGTTTACTCTCTTGGCAAAAAAGGAGGCAGAACAGGGGCAGGTGTTTGGGGAAAAAGACATTGACAATCCCACCTGCTATTGAACCTAATATGTTATGACAATATATGACTATATATGATTTTGGCTTCACGTGCTATCTCCAGAATGTAACCCTCGTGTCCACTTGTATTTCCTGCTTCCTTATATTGATCTGGTTCTGAAATGGTTTGAAGTTCAGGAAAATGCAATTGACTCAGAGCTTAGAAGGTTCATGTTTTAAAAAGAAATAGGTATAGTTCTAGTTCATCATGTCCAAAAAGGAACTGATTCCTTTTTGATGTTCATCCCTTTGCAAAATGAACTGCTGCAGTTCACAATCAGCTCACAGTTCAGTTCACAGTTCATCCACATGATCCTTGGCATTTCCCCCCTCAGCATTCATAAAGTTTCAAGCTACTGTACTGAACTATAAAATATACATGTGCAGACTCAGTAAACATAAAAATAAAACACACACAGTGGAGTGTTAATTGTTTACATTGTGTTTCCCAACAATTTAAGCTTAACAGCCCAAGGAGTAAAGAGTTAAAAAAAAATGGATGTAAGAGTGAATTTGAAGATGAACTAGAAGCTGTTCAAAGTTCTACCAAAAAATGAACTTCATTCATGTTCCATTCACTGGCAGTTATGGGAACTACTTTCTGGTATAGTTCAGAGATGTTTGAACTAATTCAGTTAACTCAATTAAATCTAACGGATTCATTCCAAGCACACCATTGACTCAGACATTCCCACCTCCTCCCCAACTTCTCTTACGAATTTCTCTTGATGAATTGCATCTAGAAGAGCATTAGTAATCATTATCATTTCATGGACTTGAATTTTGTGAATTCTTTCAAAGCCTGAGAGTTGTGATTGGGTATCCTATTTTTAACCGTAATGAGCTTTACAGAGGTTCAAGATAGCATCTGCCTTTTAGAAAACTGGGCTTTGCTTCAAGTTCAAAGCCAGGCAAGTTTCAACTATGCATGCTGAAGTATTTATTCCTTATTTGGCTCAAACTCTTTTCCATAGCATTGTTCATCCCAACAATCCTTGGACTATATATAATAGATGCAAAGGTTGGTATGAGAAGAAGCATTTAGCATTCATCCAGTCTTGTTCTCATGCATATATATCTGATTTTATTTGTACACTGCCTTTCCGCAGTCCAAGCCATGCTCAAGGCAGCTTATGACATGGAAAACAAAACAAAAAAGCATCGCTGCAAGATAACAAAAGTAGTCGTGAAATAAGACATTAAAAAGTATACGACCAAACTCAACAATTTCCACTTCAATCACAAGATTAAGATCTTGTGGGTTGGCATGTTGTTTAGGAGGGGTTATTGCTGTGGTTTTTTTAAGAAGATACAAAAAAACCACAGCAACAACCCCTCCCAAACAACACACCAGCCCAAGTCTGTTCAGCAGCCTCAGCTTTTACAGCTGGAGTCAGTCAGGTCCCCACCCTCATTCCTTCGTTCGCACCCACTCTTGTAGCCACCCATGCTACCCCAAGTCTCTCTTGAGGTTCAGGAGGCCATCCTGAGATGGAGTCAGTGCACTGCTGGGGAGGAAGGATTCCAGCTTCAGGAGGTACTCCACCCAATTAGGGATGATTCCATTCCCAGCAGACCCTTGTGTCTCTCATCCCACATATTCAGAAGGGCCTCATTACCACCCAGAGAGGCTTGGGGTAATGCAGAGGGCTGGGGTGGTGGCAAGGGGAGAAATTTTCCTATCATGTACATCCTTCCATTCACTTATCTGAGGTTTGGAGTCATAAAGTTTAAAGGTGAAATACTACGACTAATTCTTATTATTGAAACTTTATATAGCTGGAAAGGAAAGGAGGCAGTAGAAAACTTTCCTTCCATCAACTTCCTTAAGAAAGTCTATGGTTTTTCCAAGTTGAACAAATAAATCTGTTTATGATGAAACTTGCGTAAAGAAAGAAAAAGGAATGCTTTCAACCCATAGATGAACAATGCTAATGTGATTATTACACAAAAGAGTTCACTGTTCTGTGACTCTTTATGCTAAACACCCAATGATGCTGACTTTTTGCTTCAGAACATTTCTCTGTGTTGCAGGAAAAGCAGGATTTGTTGATTCCACTTCCCTTGGTTGGAAAGCTGAGCAGCAGGGCTGAAAGCAAACATGTCCATGGATTTTTTGACTATTATTTTTTTAAAGCTTTTTAAATGGGGATATTTTCTTACTAAGCTTTCAATTTAGACTGAGTCATACTAGCTGTTACAGGAGGGATTCCTCTCTGGATTCCATACAAGGCACACATTATCTATTTACATTTGGATCAGTTGCAGGAAGAGATTATCAAATTCATTTCATTAACTTTAAACCACTCTCCCAAACTCCAAATTAGTGCCGATTTACAAGTAACGTTCTGGGCTCTGTACAGAAGAATAATAAGGCTATTATTCCTGGAGGGAAAATGATCTGTTGATTTAGCACACGATATTCTTATTAAAGGAAAACCCAGAAATAAAACTGAGCTTGTGCTGACATGAAATGGGTCAAATACTTTCAAAGTTCTGGGTGTGTTCCTTTTTTTGTGCTATAGCAATACACAGAAACAAATATGGAGTCAACAAAAAATGCCTCTAACAGGGCTCGGCTTCCCATCTAGAAAAGTTACATGTAAAACTATGAACTATTAACCTAGGATAATCACAGTCTGCTAATCTGCAATGGACCAGAGAGTACTGAGTAAACAGAATACTAACTGCTTTTGCAGAGGTTACAGTGCAAAGATTGTGAATATAGGAAGCCAACAGCAGACGTGAAGTTCACAGTATTTCACAAGAGGTGCCTATAAAGAGAGGAGGTATCTGGAATGGGTGTAAGAGACATCAGGGCTTAAAGACTCTTGTCTGAATGAACTTTCAGCTCCAAGTTTCAGAGGGCTGTGTTTACTCCTTCTGGAACTTCTGGAACTGGACTAAGCCACTTCTGGTGAGCTACAGCAGCACACGAGAACGCCGTTTACCTTCCCGCTGCAGCGGTACCTATTTATCTACTTGCACTTTGACGTGCTTTTGAACTGCTAGGTTGGCAGAAGCAGGGACCGAGCAACAGGAGCTCACCCCGTCACGGGGATTCAAACCGCCGATCTTCTGATCAGTAAGTCCTAGGCTCTGTGGTTTAACCCACAGCGCCACCCGCGTCCCGTTCACTAGGTACTCCTCTGTTAATACATAGGATCTCTCTCCACCAACAACGTACCCCATCACTCATAATAACTGGCATTTTGCTAGCAAATTAAATAAAAGACACTACTGTGCCAGGAGGGATTATGAGAGAGCCAAGAAATTTTGTACCCAGAAAGGGAGCGGAGGGAGTGAATCTTCCCAAACAAATGTGTTTGAAAGGACTCCAAGTCACACATTCCAGGGGCATAAGGAAGCTTCCTTTAATTATGATGGATTTATGCATTTCAGGAGATCAACATATGATGTCACATGCTCAATTCCTTTTTGATTCTGCAGCTCTGCTTTTAGGTTTCAATATGTATCTTCCATGTGGTAAGTCCATTATATATAGGGTCTACAACCAAGACACTGTGCTAGTTGTCAGCAAGAATTTTACATTTCCCCAGCTGCGAGTGTGTTATGTTTGCCTGAAGCTCAGAGGATGTTCCAATCACTCTGAACCACTCCAGCCTCCTTGGCTGGCTATAGAAGCACCTTATCTGCAGAATTAAAAAGTCCTACTTCTTGCATGGCTTTTGTTACCACCTGCATCTCTAAGCTGCCTGCTTCAGCTACCAGCTTATACTTTCTTTTTGTTCTTTTATTTGGGGGGGAGGGAGATCAATTGCCAAAATGACTAGATTTGACAAATCCAATATTTACAAAAGAGGCTGCAGCTTATGAAAGATGTACATGATTCTTATCATGTGTTATGCCCAGTCCTGATGCAGAGCATGTTTCCAAGTCCTTGGGTGACAAACCAGACCCGCCACTGATCAAAGACATGAGGGAGCAGGTGGGGTCTTCTTGGTGCTAGCCCCAAAGGCTCAGAGATTCTGCAAGAAACCTTCAGAGGAATCTCTTTAGGAGCCTTCAGGATCCGATCCAATACAATTGCCAGCAGAAGAGCCTCTGGTGGAGTCAGAGGGAGAGATTGGGCCACCCTCCATTCCTCAAGAGTGCAAGCATCTAAAGGTCCATGCCTGGGTCATGCCTGAAGATCTAAAATTGGTGTGACTCTGGGGTAAAGAACTTCTTATGAATAAGGGGCTCTCCATGCAACCTCAAATATCCAACAGCTTAAGTCAATTCAACTTGCATCTTCAAAATATTTGGAGGGGGGGAGTTTTGGTTTCATCAGAAGCTTTTGTGGTGGTGTAAAAAAGTATGAAAACAATTCACTTTGAAAGATGTTGCAGTGGAGGATACAAACAAATATCATGTAGGGCAGGGGTGTCCAACAGCTCAATCGTGATCTACTGGTAGATCCCCGGGAGGTTTTGGTAGATCGCGGTCGATCACTGGCTCCCTTTCCATAGCGGTGGTAAAATAGAATCCGGCCCCGTCCCCTTGTTCTGTCCTCCATTGTTGCATGATCTCCAGAACAGAAGATGGAGTTTTCACAGTGAGGCTGATTGTTTGATAGCGGCTTTTTGGTGAGCGACTCTTCCCCTTTCCTCCCCCCCAAAAAATTACTTAGTCCTGAACCCCCCCCCCAAAAAAGGGGTAGATCACTGCCAGTTTTTTATTGTATGAGTAGATTGCAGTCTCTTAGGAGCTGGCCGTCCCTGATGTAGGGTGATGATAATTATCATCATTAAGCTTTGAAGACCTGGTTTCCAAATCAGTATTTTACAAAATATGCAAATGACTAGACGTCCATGATGGTGCTGTGATTGCAACAAGGCCTTGAATTTCCTTGAATTCATTTCCCTCCACTGTGAATGGCTGAAGTGTCCATCATTTACCAGGTTAAAACAGAGCAACTTTACTGGCTCTGTCAGCAACCTGCTTACAATAGGGGCTGTGCTACGTATACCAAACACATCATATACTGCTTATATTAATGCCACGTTAGGGTAACCTGACACTGAAACACACAGTAAATAACATATCTATATTTTATAAATGCATGTTGAAGAAGATCAGTCACGCCTGCCTTGTCAAGACTCTGACTTCCAAAAATGCAGAATTTAAGTTTTGTCATGCATGGTATTTATTTTATTTTGCCAAATGTTTAAACTTATCCAATCTCAAAGGCAATGACATTACACATTACATGCATATACATGTAGTTGTAATGTTCTGCTGTCTACCCTCAAACTTCCCCAGCCTAGTACCCAATTTACTTTGTGAGAAGAAGTAGGGAGGGTGGGGGAACAGGCCTGTACGTATGAAGACCATGCATTGGAATCTCCATTGGGCAGTTTCTCCCATTTAGAACTTTGGGAATACCTACATGTGTGATTACAGTGGTACCTCTGGTTAAGAACTTAATTCGTTCTGGAGAACCTGAAACTGTTCTTGACCTGAGGTACCACTTTAGCTAATGGGGCCTCCCACGGCCGCCGCCACAGCACAATTTCTGTTCTCATCCTGAAGCAAAGTTCTTAACCTGAGGTACTATTTCTGGGTTAGCGGAGTCTGTAACCTGAAGCGTCTGTAACCCGAGGTACCACTGTAGATAGTTACTGTGCTAGCAACTACCATACCTGTTGGGAAGGGTTGAGCAAGGAATCTTTCTTTTGCGCTCTGCAGAACTGCCTGCCTATTCATCCTGATTTCAAGCTTGCCTCACTTCTACGGCACATTATTTTTGTAAAGATCTGGGATAGTCTTTTAAAGAACTCATAATTTCAGCCACATGCATGGTCTCCTTGCTATTCTCTTGCTTGCTAGGTTCCCTGATGTTTCAGTGAGGGCTTAATATCAATACTTCCTCTTGACTCGTACTGAGAAAAAGAGAGAATGGAGCAAAAGTAAGAGCAGCAGAATATGTCTGGCACAATATAGGGAATAGAAGAACTAGATTTATAAAGCCTTTATCATGCTAGAACTTGTTAATGCAAATACTGAATGGCCCAAATTGTAAGCCAGCTTTTGTTCACTTTATGTCATTTCCGCAATGTAACATTCAAAAAGCTTTCTTTATGTCCGTCCATCCAACATAAAAGTACAGAATACATTCAATCTGTTTATGGTTTGGAGAGGAAAGGTATGTTCAAGGTTTATGAGGATAGGACCTTGAGCTTCTAGTTCTCATCCCTGCCCTACTGATTTACTCAAGCTTTTATATTAAGGCTGCCTTTAACTTGAAGTATGAATGTTTCTGCAGATTTATGTCAGACAATGTACAGCAATATATAGTAACTTGCAGTGTGAAATGATCAGCACTGCAAATATGCCCTGTTCTTCCATCAGCTGAACATTCTAGTCAGTGTCATATAGTTGCTTTAGTGCCAACTACATGTTACATTAAGCACTTTAAGAAACGAAAGTATGCTTAACCCTGGGCACTTTTATTGAAAGGAAAAGCAGGCTCTATATAGGTTTTTGGACTATACAAGTGTTTGGTCTGATCCAACAAGGCTTAAGTTCTTTTATACGCAGCTACTCTCTGCCTCCAGGGGTTCTGTTTATCGTGCAAATAATTATCTCTCCATCCATTACCTAATCAGCTCACAGGTTGTGAGTTAAACTGCTCAGGCTAGCTTATTGCAAAACTATAGTTAGTCCCAAGTAAGTTGGTATGAAATCTTAGGCGATTGCTTTTCATCACTAAAGTATTGGGACCTGCTCAAAAAGGAGTGCACTGGGGATGCTGTGCTTATTCATCTAAATTAAGGAGTGGCCTATATCCTTAGGTGCCCCTTTTGTCTCTCCTGAAACTAGGCTGAAATGATCTGTATGATGGTCAGATTATACAATAACGTTGACATCTCCTTGGTGCAGCTTTTAGTGTTATGAAGCACATGTGCATGGATAACGTGAGGCCATTGCCCTCACCGCTCTCTCAAAATTCAAACTGTGGCCCTTGGTCCAAAAAGGTTGGTGAGCCCTGTTAACAGCTGAGTGCAAATATACAAGTCCTTACAGAACACACATTGGAGTATGGCAACAATTCTAGAACTGACTTGCAGTATGGTAAAACAATTCACTGAACTCTGAACCGATGCATGATGTTTTATTTGTTCCATTATTACACAAGAAATTTAAAAAAGAAAGGGAATTGCAATCTTCCTTGCTCGAGCATTTCAATTCATACATTCAAGTATAAATGAAGTTACTCTGGGGGGAAAGGGGGTTTATGACCATATAAAAGCACCTAAACAATTTCCACTGATTTCCCCTCCTGCACTAGAAACTGAAGATTGGCAGGTTTCATACCAAGCAAGCTGTTAGCTATCTAGTGCACTAATGCTAACACTGACTCATGCTTGTAGCTGTTTTCCCCGCACATAATAAAACATGCCTGTATGTGTTCAGGCAGGAAGGCATTTCCAAGAGAATGTATTGAATGCCAAGGATTTGACCATCTACCACTTAAGCCATTAGGAGTTTTGCCTCTGATTTATTGAGGACAAGCTGGACCCAGGCAGTGAAAGTGTGAGCAAACATCATTTTAAAGCCAGGAAGCTCTTGATAAGATTTTTGTTGCTGTTCCTTGGCATAGCTTGCTGATTCATTTCTTTGCAAGTGTATCACAACCTATCCATCTGTGTTGAGGCAGACTGCAGCACTGGGTATATGTGACCAGTGCAACTGCAAAAAGTTCCCTGCCACACATGCATTTCAAAACATGAAAGTATAAATATATAAATAAGACCACCCCATGCTCCTCCAGCCATTAAATGGCTACCCAATGCTCAAATTTGTGCTCTGGCAGACCTTCACTAAATTGAATTTCAGAGTTAAGAAGAAACCCATTGAATGCCTCTGTATTCACCATAGTTTAATGCCTGCCCATTAAAAAAAAGAAAGTAGGCACGTTTTAAATTTTTGTGGCTGTGACAATATTCTTGAAAGTGCATGAGCGGTGCTACTTAAATCCTGTGGCTGAATGCAGGGCCTCAATGCTCAACACAATTCCCTGTCCTTCTGCATGCATAGCTGAAGATTGTTCAGAATCTGGGGAATTGTGCAAAATTGTTGCGTTTGCATTGTCAATACGGGTCGCAGAATTTGTCTTTTTCTAGAATGTGTCTTTTTTTTAAAAAAAAAAGATATTTATTAAGAGTTTACAAGTTACAGAAAAAGCAAGAGAACAATAAAGAATTATACAAAACAAAACAGTGCCTTACAATACATCAAAAAACAACAACAATACAATAAAGCAACAACAAAAAAACAGAACAAAAACATTTAAAAACACATCCAACCTTTCCATATCTTTACCTTTCATATACTTGTTTCATCGACCTCCTCACACCTCCCTTTTTTGTATTCTAGTTCAATTAGCTATTTCAGCAAGTCCTTTCCATCTTTCTCAATTTTCGTTCTAAAATTTAACTTAAGACACTCTAATCTTAAATTTTCCACTTTGGTCCATTAACAATCTATTTTTACTTAATTCTTTATAACATTTCTGCTAAAGCCATATAGCTTCATTCCAGCATCCTTCTAACATTCATTAATTTTGCAATATTTCTGTAAATATACTTTAATTTTTTTCCAATCTTCTTCCACCGACTCTTCTCCCTGGTCCCGGATTCTGCCAGTCATTTCCGCCAGTTCCATGTAGTCCATCAGCTTCATCTGCCATTCTTCCCTGGTGGGTAAATCTTGTGTCTTCCAGTGCTTTGCAATAAGTATTCTTGCTGCTGTTGTGGCATACATGAAAAAAATTCTATCCTTCTTTGGCACCAATTGGCCTACCATGCCCAGGAGAAAGGCCTCTGGTTTCTTTACAAAGGTATATTTAAATACCTTTTTCATTTCATTATAGATCATCTCCCAGAATGCCTTAATCTTTGGGCATGTCCACCAAAGGTGAAAGAATGTACCTTCAATTTCATTACATTTCCAACATTTATTATCGGGCAAATGGTAGATTTTTGCAAGCTTGACTGGTGTTATGTACCACCTGTAAATCATTTTCATTAAATTCTCTTTTAAGGCGTTATATGCCGTAAACTTCATACCAGTGGTCCATAACTGTTCCCAGTTTCTAGAATGTGTCTTAAGGGCTTTGCTGTTTTTAAAACTTAGAATACATGCAGCAAAGATGAGTATGCTGATCTGAGACCATGCAGGAGCCTGAACTCTTCATGCGTTTCATAACCTACTTTAAAGTTCAGAATGCCCCAGATATAAAGTTCAAAAAATGTCTTCTGGGGCAACGTTCTATATCTGTGCTTGGAAAGGATTGCTGTTTCTACAGCTATTACCTGAACAATACTAACAACAATAGATGAGGGAGCTATTTATTTCCTTGGAAGGACGCAAAGACTACCAAAGTGAAAATTTCCTGTTTTTGAATGCTTCTGAAAAGTGGAGAATGTTGATTACTATGACAGCCGTAAGGAATATGCAGATGTTGCTGGAGATGTGTCATTTGCACAATAATCCAATAAACAATTGGTGTTTTGAAGCCTATTGTTTACAATTAAGCAAGTCTTGCCTGAATGGGAGTATCAAGGACGTTCTGTCCTGAACCTAACATACTAACTGAATTTTTGCTCATTTAAAGATGTTTAATAAGCAAATTTATTATATAGAAAACAGAAAACTACAGAATTATAGAGCTTGGCTGTAACATACAAGCAACAAGGCATATTCAACAACAGAAACATTCTGGTCCTAAATTATCAATAGGAAACTCATTCTCTGGTTGCCTATCCTTACGTAGCCCAAAGAGTACCATCATTTCAATCGATAAGAAGAAGGTATCAGATTGGAGTGAACCCTAATGTTTGCAGTTAAGAAAAAAGAGGGAACCCTAAGGGAGACCCCCCCAAAAAACCCAGCCCATTATAAACATAGAAATCTGTCTTATACCGAATCAGACTACTGGTATACAGGCAACAATCAATTTGTATGGGGCTTAGATTCCTGATCCCCTTATGCATTGGTGGTGCATGCATAAGTTTCACTCCGCCCCATTCCGCTCCATTCCGTCTCCCATTCTGCCCCCTTTGCCAGCCACTTCCGGATCACCACGATGTGCATGTGTGTGGTCATGCATGAATCAGTCGTTGCCTGTATCTAGTACAGCATTGTCTACACCAGCCTTTCTCAACCTGTGGGTTCCCAGATGTTGTTGAACTACAACTCCCATTACCCCTAGCTAGCAAGGCCAGAGCTCAGGGATGATGGGACTTGTAGTCCAACAACATCTGGGGACCCACAGGTTGAGAACTGCTGGTCTACACCAATTGGCTGTGGCTCTCCAGGGTTTCAGACTAGTGGCATTCTCATCCCTACCAGGAGATGCCAGGGGCTGAACCTTCTGCATGCCAAGCAGATGCTCTACAACTGAGTTTAGCTCTTCCTCACTGATGACTGAGCATTCTCAGCAGGCATGGAATCCTAGAAATTAATACTGAATTTTTCAAAATGACACCAGATGGGATTTGAGTAAAAACATTATCAATCTGAATAATGGTGAAAACTGTAATCCATCTTCATTTGACATTTCTTGTTTTATGGGAAAAAATAAAAAGTAGCCAACTGGTGACATAATACTTAATTGCCCAGCAGGAATATAAAAGAAGATATAACACTTTTGATTTCATGAGGCCGTATTTAAAATGTTATGTTCCTAGTACGTGTACCGGAATCACCACACTCTGAGGGGGGGAAAACGCTTCCTGTTCTGCCACATCTGAAACATTAACCTACTAATGGAGAAAGGGTCAGAAGAATTTATTTACCACACTGTTGTTTCAAATACCTCATACGCTTATCAAAGGAAGTCTGTGGGCATGGTTCTAAGGGCATTATTCAGTATGTGACGTCCATCGTTAGCTTTTTCCAAGGCTTCCCAGAGTTAAGCCATGGAAACTATTACAGAAGTCAGGAACACAGGAAATATTCGTAAACTGGAGGCTCCCTCTGAGGACGTGGAGAGTACATTTCTCTTGCCACTAAGTAACTGAAGAATTTTCAGTCACAGGAATGATGATTATGATGATTAGCAAGAGTAGATAAGGCAGAAGCAAAATCTGGATACGCAAAGCAAAAAGAGGCAAAAGACTGGATTAAGCTGAACCAGGGCCATTAGGAACCTTTAACTGCTGGTGCTGACTTTGTCCAAAGTGGCAGGGGAACCTCTCATCCTGCTCCCCACAAGAACTGAAGGGGTGATCTAGAATCTACTATGATATCCAGGAGGATTCTAGGAACTGTCCACATTGAAGCCGCAGGTCCTGTGTGGCTTCTCATTAGGTGCAGTAGTGGCCAAAGTGGCAGGGCACAGAAATGGAGGTATTACCTATTCAGTTTTGGAAACTTGCTGTTTTCAACAGCAGCCTGCCTTTGATGCTGCACTGGGCTCGGCGGTTTGTCCTCCTCTTCCCCCTCAATGTTGGGGTTGTTGAGCCCCCTGCTAAGGAATATTGAGGGGGCTGACCCCAACAACAGTCCCCTGCAATGTGGGAATCTCAACTAGATCATCCATGACAGATGGCCATCCAGACTCTGCTTAAAAGCCTCCAGGGAAGGAGAGTCCACCACCTCTTCTGAGAGTCTGTTGCACTGTTGAACAGCTCTTACTGTCAGAAAGTTCTTCTTGATGTTTAGTGGGAATCTCCTTTCTTGCGACTTGAATCCATTGGTTTGGGTCCTAGCCTCTGAATCAGGAGAAAACAAGCATGTTCCATCTTCCACGTGAAAGCCCTTTAGATATTTGAAGATGGCTATCATATCTCATCTTGGTCTTTACCAGGCTAAACATACCCAATTCCCTCAACTGTTCCTCACAAATCTTGGTTTCCAGACCTTTGGTCATCTTCGTCACCCTCCTCTGCATACATTCTGGCTTGTCAATATCCTTCTTAAATTGTAGTGGCCAGAACTGGACACATACATACACACACACACACACACACACACACACACTAAATGATTCAAACTTAAATTATCTGATATGTCTGGATATAAGTATACAAATGTGCTCTGAATAAATGATGGAATTATACTTCTGACATTAGTAGAGGATCTCAAGCTGTGGCAGTATTCAGTTATCTTCATAGTGCAACATCTGGTGGGTTTCCTGCCATGCAAATCTCATGAAACCTCTGCATTAAATTTAGTTGTAAGTGCACACTAGACTGAGACCTCATTGTTGTGAAAGAGAATGAGAAATCATGCAAATTCATTAAAAGCTGAGAAATCCAGTGAGAAAACGTCTGTGTTTCTATATGCCTCTTCCCTCTAATTCCCTACATGTCCAGTTCCTTCTTCCACTCTACCTCAGAGTCCAATAAGAGATGCCCCCAAATTCTTCACAACCTCTACTAAGAACATGGATTAAATCCTTGCATGCAGAGTTTGCTTCATCTGCATGCTAATGGAAGGTTCCGGGTGTTATTGGTTCCAACATTCTAGAATGCTGAACTAAGAGCACTCAGAACCTTCCACTGACACGCACATCTAGCAAAACTCTGCATGCGACTTATAAGTAGTGGTCCTCAACATCAGTGATGGGGCAGGCCCAGTCCATATAGTATACAGGTAGTGCTAGCAGAGGGCTACCAGCATAAACCAGTCACCTCATTGGCCCTTGTGGATTGCTAGAGGCCTCCGAATAGGCACTGCACTAGTCCTATGGAAACAAGTCCATCTCACTTCCTTGCTAATCACACAGCAGTACATGACATGGCAGTAAGTCATGGGTGCAGAGAGAGAGAGACAACTGGAGTGCCTCAGGGTCCCAGAAGGCCAGGGGCCCTTTACAGTCATCTGATGCAGATGAAGGAAGCATTGTGACCTATGCTCAGTTAGTGTATCATACTTAGATGGGCATTTGGCTAATGGAGTACTGTGTCAAGCAGCTTTGGCTTTCTTCTTAAAATTAAAAAAAACTCAAAATTGTGGCACATAAAAAAGCACCTTGAACCAATTTACATGAAAGTTCTGGAAAATCTATTTTGGCAAATGACATTACCAAAGAATGCTCAGTTGCATCCTCATGTTGCTTGCGTTAGATGAGCGAGCGTACCTTTATTAAACTGAAACTGGTCAAGAATGAGCTGGGCAGCTTTTTTTTCTGTGCTAAATCCCAGGAAAATTCCAAGCCAGAATGGAATTAATGATGGGTGAAGCCAGAGTCAAATGTGATCAGAACTTCCCCTTATTTTATCTCTTACATGGGCATGGCCCAACCCCAAGACATGGGGTCTTATCCCTGATCTCACACTGCATCTTTGAGACGGAGTCAATACAAAAAGGAGCACTTCCCCCCATTGTCCTCCATCTAGGAGCCAAGAAGAAATGGCAAGCACAAGTTGGCTTTTGCTGCCTATGTTCCTGACAGTTGGTTGGAGCTCCAAGGCAAAGTGTGGCATAATGGTTAGTGTGTGTTGGACTATGACCTAGGAGGCCAGGGTTTGAATCCTCCTCACCCAGCCATGAAGCTCACTGGGTGACCATCTCTTAGCTTAACCTACCTCACAGGGTTGCTGTGAGGATGAAATGGGGAGGGGAGAACCATGTACACCACATTGAGCTTCTTGGAAGAAAATGGTGCTATATAAACGTAATAAATAATAATAAATAAGAGAAAGGCTGGGAGATGGGCAGCACATGCTCTTAGGCTCCTTCAAGCAGTGCTTCCCTATGATCTCACCCCAACCAGCCAGTCATTACCAAGGGTAAGATTGGGGGAGCCAGGGCATGAGTGATATTCAGCCACCAGCTGAATATCCAACCAACAACCCAGTGTTTTCCCATTGAAGTGATAAGGCATAACCTAAGTTCTACTACAGGGCAAGAAAGCCTTAACCACCTTATTATGCTCTCAGCCAAAAGTGAGCTTGCTAGGCAAATTTCTTTGACAATTTCAATAGGCTCATGAGAAATGAAAGCAAGGAAGGAGCCATTCAAGTTGGCCAACTGTGTAAGTATCAGGTGATTCTTTAAATGCTGTATTAAAGCAACATTTTGTTTGAATTGTGAGAATGTTCAATCGTTTCTGCTCTTCATTTTAGTGAGCATACCGTTTATAAATAATATGGTTATTTGTAATTTCCTAAGGTTGTACAATATTCCTTTTTACATTACAGCAAAGTAGGTTAGATAAAGCAGATTAAATTAATTAACAACCACGAGTGCCAGTTCACTAGATAGACAAACCATTTGCCTACATAGCAAATCAGCATTCGTGGTTATTAATAAATTTATAATAATCAAATACTACGTACCAAACTGTATAGTTATTATGCCAATGTTCCATGTTACCCACTGGCAGCTGGGGGGGCATGAGGAGGACCCCAGGATGATGTTTTGCCCCACACCCCAGGTTACCCCTCTGCAGCCCTGCAATAGAGACCATGAACCCTCCTAACAAAAACAAGCACAACTGCACAGACATCGACTACCAGGGTCTCTACATTTTTGTAAGCCTCAGTTCAACTGACGATGAATAAAATGGACTCTCTCTCCCAAATTCTCACTTTAATAAAATGTCTTTTATTGACGATCTTGCCCAGCTATCATGTAGAATGATCAGATGAATTTGGTGCATCATTGCTTGCAGTCATGCTATGGTGGTACGTACATATCGGGTGCATTCGCAAAGTGTGGTTGTGGGTGCCTGTTGCTGGGACAAATTAATATGAGAGGGAAGAGGTGGCTCTTATAAGTTGGCAAGAAGCCAGCGGATCAGTCCACACTGAGGCCTTTTCCCCATCGCTTCCTCCATCTGCACTCTTTCGAGGTACCTCATTACTCTCTGAAGGATATCTCCCACGCTGTAGCCCTTCTTGGTTGCCTTCTGAGCCAGCCGTGGAAGATCAGCCAGCTCTCCTTCTCTGTCATTTAAGAATGTCAGGTTGGGCACATTGAAGTGAGAAGCCACCATCCACTGGAGGACAGCCTGGAGCTCTTTGTTCAGTGAATCGCTTTCGCCATTCTGGTTAGTCACGATCACCCCATTCGGACCCATTTGCCTCATATTAGCTCTTACTAGGGAAGCTCTCCTCGGCACTCCTAAATGTTGGGATGAACCACTGTATTGCTTATGTGATGTGTCGCCACTGGCT